GCGTTCGTTGACGACGTAGTTTCCGTTATAATGAAGAAGTGTAGATTCTGCTAGATAACGTTGGCACTGGTCGAAACTTATGCGTTTGGTCTCCACCCATTTTAGCTTCCGAGAGTCATTTTTACTGTTGTCTGGAATTAGTTTCCGCAACTCAGCTTGTATAATCGTGGCAATTGGCTTATACCCAATCACAAGCGCCAAGAAGCGGCGCAGATCCTTAACACTCGTAAGCAATTCGTAATCTATAACAGCTCGTACACGTGCAGGAAGAGGACGCACTCCAGTCTCGCTGATGACCTTAGTACGTCCAAAAACGCTTTTGACAATGTTTATCACCAGACCATGTTGACGCAATCTTTCGAATACGATTCGAAGGTGTTCGAGATGCTCTGAAGCGGAAGAAGCACAAAGACGTCTACAAAGTCCAAGTCATCGAAATTTCGATTCATGTAGCGCTGGAACGTTTGCAGCAACTACTTGACGGCCGACAAATTCCTAAATCGTACATGACTCTGAAGTCTTCCTTCGCAGCTTTTACCTTCTCAGAATGCATCCGACGAACTTTCGATGCTGTTGGAGGTCCTTTTTAGTAACAATATGATGAGTAACGTCTTTCCCGATAAGGATGATCTGTGTTTACTGTCGTCAGGAGAACCCAAGCTAGTCTTCCCGTCTGTTAGGCGTTGATGTTTGAAGACTACTACAATGCCAAAGTGTGCAATCAATTTTGTTTCGTATGTTTTGATCCTAGTCCCATTTTCCGCCAGAAGAGACTGCACAGAAATCCCGTCGAATTTTTCTCGTTTAGTAGCCGGTAATATTGAAACATCTGATCCGGTATCCGGTATCGCGATTTCTGGCTCCTTGCTGTGTCTATACAACAAGTACTGAATTTTCCGTAAAATAACAGATTTACGGTGAATGACTAAAACTCAGTAAAATAGAGTACCGAGTTTTCAGTATTGAACCGTCATCAAACGATATTCCAAAATTGCTGATCTCACCAGTAAGTCAACTTACTTGCTTCATCCTCCGCGGTTTCACCAACAATCAATACGAAACTAACGATTTTAAATTGGCTCACCACTTTAGTAGCCTATTGGTCCCAAGCAAACGATTAACGTACCCTATTCTAGTCGAAATTCTAGTACTACGCAATGTTTGTTTTGATTCGCTATGAAAGTTTGACAGATAAAATGAGGGGTTATTGGTTTTTCCTATGTTTCGAGGGGTGAATCGATTAGCTTGGGACCGAAGAGAGTACCAGAGCTGAGCCAAAAAGTTGAGCACGTTTCTGCGGGACCTTCTAGTCTTAGAGTTACCTCTATGGTTTCACCTCGCGCACTTTACGTCGGAAATCTATGTGTGCCAGCAGAAAACCCTCGAGAAAACCTTTGTAAAAATCAAGGTGAAAATAAGTGAAACATCTGGAAGCCAATGCAGGAGTGCTGAACCTGCCACGGAATTGGGCAGTTTATGCAATCCTGAATTGATTTCTAGATATTTCACTGATTTTTAAGCAAAAGCATCCCCTAACATTGCCTGTTGTAAAGCTCCAGACATTGACGCGCAATCCGCACACCAACAGAACCACCAGGAAGCGATAAACATGGTAACCTTGTTCCTAAATAAAAATCGAAAAAAAAATGAATAAATTTAATCCTACCCATCGTATGAAACCATAAAGAAATCTTTAAATACCAGTAAATAAATATTTTTGATGAATTTACTGACATATTCATTAATTGAAAAACTCAGCAAAATATAAAGGTAAACAAATAAATTACTGATATAGACAGCAAATTCATTACTGACTTAAACGGTAATTTTTGACAGTTCAGAGATAAACTAAAACTTCTCATACCCAGTAAAGTTTTACCAACAATCAATACGAACCTAACGATTTTAAACTGGCTCACTACTTGACTAGCCTATTGGTCCCAAGCAAATCGATTAACGTTTCCCATTCTAGTATAAATTCCAGTACTACACTATGTTTGTTGTGATTCGCTATGAAAGTTTGACAGATAAAATGAGGGGTTGGTGGATTTTCCTGTGTTTCGAGGGGTGCATCGATTAGCCTGGGACCGAAGAGAGTACCAGAGCTGAGCCAAAAAGTTGAGCGCGTTTCTTCGGGACCTTCTGGTCTTAGAGTTACCTCTATGGTTTTACAGACTTCGGTAATCTAAACTCTGTGTGTACCATTTCGTCAGCCATTTCCGCAAGCTTGGCAAGATTTCCATCGTGACAAGTGATTATAGGACAGAAGAGCGCTAGATGAACCACATCTTTAACAAATTGTTATCAACTCCCAAACCAGTCGAAAGTTCCTGCATTTTTGACAGAAGATTTGACATTTTTGTGTAGATCCAGAGGTAGATTCCCCAGATCGTGCAGGCGTTCCAACCGGTTTTCCGGTGAAAGAGTAAATCGAGCGACCAATTGGCGTTTTGCAGTGAAACTTTTCCAAGCTTTCGCCACCTACATTTCGAAGTGAGAACTACTAGAAGGAGGATAGTTTCCAAATCTTCCAAGCAAAACAGACGCTTTTTGGAGCAAATCGGTCCATAAAGAAAAACTAATAATTTCCCGTGGAAACTTTTGCCTGAATCGTGTAAGAAAACGTGTTTGAAAACTATTGGTTATTATTTCGGTATGGATCAGAGATGTTTTCATGGCAAATTATGCATAACAAGTTTGCACCCACAGGGAGAGGTTACCTCCTGCGCCAGCTGCATTTTTTAGAAAATGGTAAATATGTGCGATTTTCACTAAGATGAAAGTGGAAATTAAGTGAATTTACTTAGGAAAGGTTGTATCATGCTGGTGGTAATAGAGAATCGGTTGTATAGGACGCCAATATTCAATAAATGTTCATTTTGGCCTTTTTCAAGCAAACATATTGATACTCACAATTTTCGACGGAAAACGCACCGGAACTTGATTTACTCAACACGCACCATACTATACAATGGTGCTAGATGGTCTTCAAAGTGATAACAAGATGACAAATCATCTTTATTTTGAGTAATTGAGCAATTTACTTCGGTTTACATCATATTTACGATGCAGCATTGATGGAGCCATGAAATGAAATGAATATATCTTATGAAAGTTCATCTGGAAAAGTCAAAGATGCACATCAGCCTGATCGTAACAACGTTTTCTTCTTCAATTCGAATGTTATATTGGAAGGATTTTACGCAGGCTTGATGACAATTATGATTTAATGCTAATTTTCACGAATTTTATATGCAGTCTGTCAACATTATCATCATCATGCAGTCGTGACATCTGCGTTGAGCTTTTACGGCAATCTTCCAATCGGGTTTTCACTGCATCGAATTTGTTTTCCGCGGGAGGGGCTGCAACAAGATCCGCAATGTGACAACAGACTGTCAACTTTTGCCACAATATGGTGAAATTTTGTCTTGGTCTTGGCAAACGCGAATTGCGATTCAGCTTGCGCAAACCACATGACCGGGTCTGTCTTCCAGAATCCGGCAATTTTACACCTACTGATGCAGCATTATTGTTTGTCTGCGGGTTAGACATTTTGAGGCTAGTCTCATACGATTTTGCGAACAACGTGTCTTTGTGATCACAACGGGTTTACCAGCTCAGTGTCAGGTGCGTAGACAACATGTTATACCGTGACAGCGGGCCCAGATGAGACGATGTTAAATACGAGACGCGCGAAGACTGAAGCCAAAAGTTCCAATCGAACCGTTAAGTAGACCCCACACGTTTCAATATATTGACGCGAAGGGGAATTATTGACAATAATATTGATGATGTGAATACAAAAATATTGTCAATACCGATGTACTGACGTCAATATAGAATGTATTGACAATACGATTATTGTCAATAAAAGCAGTCGTGTAGGGTCCACTTTAAACGCGGTTGCAATCGAGCAATGTAAATAAACACGAGCGCTTCTCGAAGAAAAGCATGGGAAGTATTGAGATTGGGGTTGAATTTAATTTTTGAGGTTGGTTGTCCTTATTAAGGAGATTTTCAGCCAGACGCTGGTTAACTGTTGAGATTTAAATAATTATAACTAAGCTTGTAACTAAGTTTGCGTATGAAAAGTGAAATTGGACAGGGAATATTGTTGTTATTTCCCAGCTGTGTTCAAAATATATGCTCCAGCACAACGAAATACATCTACACAGGCTCTGTTACAAAGATCGGTGTAATTTTTCTAGATAGTAAAATTTAGATAGAATAATTTTGTGCAACGCTCTGTAGATTATACCCTCCAATGTGTTATACTTGGTTCCACTCAGAGTTGTTAAAAATTGAGTCTTCAAATAAATACTTCCATTGAATAGCGATACTACCGATACGGATAAAAAATCATTCATTTTACCGGGATGCTGAAGCAGACGACAGTCGCTCAAATTAAAAGTCTCTTGAAGTAAACACAAAATTGCGGGTTGCCTCGAAAACGAAATTAGTTGGCCGTGCAACCAGATTTACTTTTATTCTCTCCGCGCGTCTCTTATATAACATCGTATCTGATACTCCCTACTGTGAAACGCTGCTGATGATTTAGGCCTTGTCACTGGCCTGGGATATACCGACAGATTTCAAAAGAATTCGCGACGTCGCAGGTCACCAATGTGGCGATTCTAACCGATTGATAAATGATCGAAGACGATTATTGCGGAAAATATAAAATTCTTTTAATCTTGGAATTACAGGCGGTTGCACGAGTCACGAAAGAAGTTTTGTACATCTCTTCTTTTTCTTTTCTCCACCTTCTCACCGTCCTTTTCTATCCTGCACACAGCTCTGTCAATGGCGACAATTTCCAGGGTGGTATGCATCTCATTACTTACATCCCACAAATTCACAATTTCCATTAACTTTGCTCAAGACACAAATTTGCTAGCATATTATTTTATCATTGAGATATACAGCATGGAAGCGTGGGATTGTTTCGGATAAAATTACATTGACAACTCTGACTTTACTTTAATACAAATGTTTATTTTTGCTGATTCCATAATGTCGGTTCCGGTTCAAGTTTATATTTCATGGGTATGTTTTCTTGTAGGTACAAACAGTGAAATGCAGACCGATGATAATGCTTCGTTTGCTCTGTCTCTGATCATCACTGGCGGCCATTAGTGAATCACACACGACGGATAGTGAAAATTAACATTACAGTTTCTATGATTGACTATTGCTATTTTCGTTTATTATAAAAAGCTGAGTAAAGATGTGAAATCTTCCGGATTGGCCTACGCTGAGGCGAGTCTTTCGGTTTGGGATAGGAGTTGAGGAACATCAGAGATGATCGCATAATAGAGCAAACGATAGCTTCCATAGTGTACATATGTGTTTGTGTGTATAAGGGGGATAATCGTTTTAATTTCCACACAGCTGTTGAAACAATGCTGCATTGCTTCTGCCTGTGGAAATGGTTTGCGACTGTAAAAATACATATCATACATAGTACGGTTGTTTGTCAGTTTATAATGCAATGCGGGTATCTTTAAATGTTGGATTACCATATTACATTTTCTCACAAATAATCACCAATAATCAAGTGAAATGTATATGATACAAACACTAGAAAAAAGCTAGTTTGTAATTTCGTGTTCGTATCGTAGGCTTCTATGGCCTCTACTTTTTATGACGATTAAGTTTGTGATGATCGTTTGCTTGCTGACGGATAGTGTTTGGTTGAGTAATGTTCATACTGTCGTGTATGTGTTTATTTCTTATATGTACATGGTTTGTGTAAGGTTTTGGATATTCTGCGATCCACAAATATTGGGTATGATTCTCATGCTTTACTTATATACAAAATTATCAATATACAACTAGCTCAAAATGGCAGTCTCTTTCCTGTGTTCCTTATTGTGTCTATGCTTGAGTTTAAAATTGATTTAACTATTTTACGATTTCCATTAGCCTATTCGTCAAGCACACAGAGAAATAAAACGAGTTATAGACGTTAATTGAACTATCAGAATTGCCCACGAGCTTCGTTTTGCAGTTGTATTTGAATAGATATTGTTTGCTCAACGCAAAACGCTACTGTCATTTTGATGATATTTCGATTAAAAATTACTTTTATTTTCTTCAAACTATTTCACACATGTACGTTCGGAGATCCGCACCAGGTCAGGCGTGCTTTTGAAGCTCAACTCATCCTGATCCGATCGCAAAATAATAAATAAACGTTCTAGCTATCACGAGCTTTCCGATCGATCAGCCTCAACTAATGCTTTCACAATGCGTTCGCAGGGTGTCGACACAGAAATTGCTAATTCATCGATACAGACTTTCATTAATAAATATTCTTTTAATTTACACTCTACCGAAAGGTGGAACATAATATCACGATTTTTTCTTGGTTTTTGCTAAACATTCTCACGAAATATGCGATACATATGTAGGTATGTACATGAATCAAATGCATACATAATGTTTCTAGGGTAGTTGCAACTAATCTCATTAAAAAACAGTCTACTTATTTTTCCAAACTAGGAAGGTTTTCTGAAAAGGTTGAACAGTTTTTTTTTGTGGTTTGAGAGGTTGATTAATGCTTCATAAGAGATAAAAGATAATATTTGAGAAAGGTAAGAGGATGTGGGAATGAAATTAAACGGAGCGATAACAAAAGCTGTGAAATAAAAATTGAATTTTAGATCAGGGGCCTTATTGGGGAAGTAGAAACGAAGCATTTTTCGTTTGTACAAAGTCGATTCGTCTTGGTTGCATAATGTGACTAATGTTTTAGTGGTTAGAGCCAGGCATGGAAAATCATGTACGTTCTAACTTTTTTCATCAACAGAATTCCGTAAAATGATGTATGTAGTTTTTGTAGGTTTTGAAATGAAATACAACTGTTGAGAATAACCCAAATCTATATCTCTTATGCATGACGAACTAGAGCGGACCGAACTTGTGTTTGTTTTTCAGTGAAAGTAATTTATATTCACCGAAAAAACAATGGTGGGTTCTGTTCGCTCTGGATCATCATGCATAAGAGATACAGATTTGAGTTATTCACAAAAGTTGTGGCTAATATCATAACCTACCTACATATCTTTTGATCTTTTGAAAATTAGAGGCAAATTAATATAAACGAATGTAATGATTTCCATGCCTGGTTAGAGCATCTCCATCGCGGGCGTCATGTGGGTTCTCATTCTTAGCTTCGCAACGCAAATTCATTCGTCACGGCTCGTCAATTAGGTTCCAAAAATGAAAACAAAACTGGAAATGCAGTCGGCGATAGCAGCATGTTTTCCCAAATGTACACAGAAACAAAATCCATTGGCAAAATTACTATATTGATGTTTTAAATTAAATACTCGCACCAATAGATTTGTGCAGAAACGAAATTCATTTAATTTTACTTATTTTTCTATCAAAACTACTATGCCGTTTGAGTAAGCATAGTAGTTTTGACAGAGTGGTATTAAATTTGTTTATATTTATAGTCAGCTATACTGAAATCATGGTAGATTTAACGGCATTAAGCACAGTAATACTGAAAATAAGTGTTTTCTGCAAAGTAGTATTCCTAACTATGGTCTTTGTTTCAGTGTAAGCACCGAATAGACACCTCGAGATGTGCGTCCATTCAATTTGACAGCACCGAGCCAAGCACTTTTATTTCATCATCAGGTCTTGCATTCTAGAAGGCTACGTAGACACTTACTGCACAGGATTCTCTGCATCTGGACTAGTTCAGCTGGGATTAAGAGAATTCCGAATAGGATCCGGGCCACTTCATTAAAATCCGCATTGATTCCTCTCATTTCCCAGCTGCATCGGAATAATTTGCGGTAATTTTCTGTTCTTTTAAGAAAAACAAATCAACAAATCCCAATTGTCGCAGATCCTATCGATCTGAATACGATTTCTAATGTATCCTGACCAAGATACCGACGGAAACCGACAGGGACTTTAACATATCCCGCTAGCGATTCCAACTGGTCCGGACAGCGATTCCAACGGATCCCGACTGGAATTTCAAAAGATCCTGATAAACATTTCAATAGACTTGATAATATTCAAACGGATCCCGATAGGAACTCCAACGGGTCTAAACGGATCACTGAAGAAAAGAAGGAATTCTAAACAATCTGAAATGGAACTCCCATGACAGTAAGTCAAATGAATCCCGACTAGGATTCCAACGGATTCCGATTGGAATTCCAGCTGAATTTGAAAAGGGATTCCAATGGAACCTAATCGGGGCTCATATGGATCCCGACAGGTATGCCAACCGGTCCAGATAGGGATTCTAATGTATTTCAACTGGGATTTTTAAGGTTCCTGACAAGAATTCCCATAGATTTCAATAAGATTAAAACGGATCCCTACTGGGAATTCAACGGATCAAACAGCGATTCTAATCGAAATCCTAATGTATCCTTACAGAGATTCCAACACTTTTTTCAAAGAATCACAACAAGATTTTTAATGGATCTCGATAAGATTCTAGCGGAATCGGACAGGGATTTTAACGGATCGGAACAGTGACTAAACCTGATCCTAAAAGGATTTCTAATGGATTCCAACTTCGATTCTAAAGGATCCTGGCAAGATTAGCAATGGATTTTGATAATATTCAAATGGATCCAGGGATTTGAATGCCGACTGGGATTTCAAAGGATTCCGAAAATAATTCCAATGGATCTTGGCAAGATTTAAACTGATTCCGATTTGGACTCCAAAGTATCCTGACAAGAATTGCCGACTGGGGTTCCAAAGGATCACACCAGTTTGAACAAGAATTACAAAGATTTCAATGGATCCAGATAAGATTCAAGTGGGTTCCGACAGGGATTTAAATGAACCCCGACACTCCGACAGTGACTGTAACAGATTCTAATAGAAAATATTCTGATAAGAATTGCAATGCTTCTCAATAATATTCAAACGAATTCATACAGGGATTTTAACAGATCCAGAAAATGATTGTAACGGATTAAAGGATTTCGATAGGAATTTCAATAGATCCTGACAAGGATTCAAACCCTTCTCAACTGGGGTTCCAAAGAATCACGACAAGAATTCCAACCAATTTGATTCAAATTCCAATGGATTCAGAATATAATTTCAATGGATCTCGATAAGATTCAAGTGGGTTCCAACAGGAGTTTAGGCGAATCCCAACAGAGACTCCCATAGATTTCAACTGGCATTTCTAAGTATCCTGAGAATTTCAATGGATCTCGATAAGATTCAAACGGATCCAGGGATTTGAATCCCGACTGGGAATTCACAAGATTCAGATTAGAATTTCAATGGATCTCGATAAGATTCGAACAGATCCCGACAGAGACTCCAACGGATCCCAATAGGGATTTCAAAGGATCCTGACAAGAATTTCCATAGATTTCGATAAGATTAAAACGGATTCCTACTGGGATTCCAAAGAAACCTGACCAGAATTTCAAAGGATCTCTTTAAGATTCAAGCGGATCGCGACTTGGTTTTTTTTTATGGACCTCGACAGCGACTCCAACGGGTCCTAATAGGGGGTTCCAATAGATCCTGATAAGAATTTCATTGGATCTCGACAAGATTCAAGCGGGTTCTCGTATGAGTTTTAATGAATCCAACGGTTTTAAAAATTGATTCCGAATGAGATTCCAAAGGATCCTGACAAGAATGTCTCAAAAAAGGATTTCAATGGATTTTGACTGGCATTTCAAAGGATCCTGACAAGAATTTCAATGGATCTCGATAAGATTCAAATAGATCCCGACTTGGTTTTTATGGATAACGACAACGGCTCCAACGGATCTCAATAAATCCTCACAATAATTTCAATGGATATCGATAATATTTAAACGGATTCCGATAAGGATTTTAACGGATCCGAATTTAAGTTTACTATGGATTCCAACTGGGATTTCTAAATATCCTGACAAAATATTTCAAAGAAGATTCAAATGGATTTTTACCGGGATTGATACACGACTGGATCTCCAAAGGTGACTTACAAAAAATTCAATGGATCTCGAAAAAATTCAAATGGATCTCTACAGCAGACTTGGGTAGTGAACCGAGGCTGCATCGAACGAAGAAATTAGAACATTCTACCTAAACTAATTTTGAAAAAGCTTGGTGAACCGCGCGGTTTTCTTCAGGCATGGTTCGTGTAAATATTTCATATTTGTTCGCAAAATTAGTTCTTTGAATAAACATCGGATTCATGTATAAAACATCAATTTCAATGAACCGTGACGAAATTTATCGCGTAGTCTTCGGTCCATTACCCAAGTCTGCTCTATAGGGATTTGTACGGATCTCAACAGCAAGTCTTGTGGATTCCGATAGGATTTCTAATGGATCCTGACAGGTAATCCAAAAATAAATCCAATGGACCCCGACAGGAGGGGGGTCCATTAAGGCTCATAGGTGAGTTTCTCTGGAAGAATCCAAGATGGGCTTCTTTGGAAAAGTCACGGTCTGTATTCTCTGGGAGAGTCTCCGTTTGTATTTTCTGGAAGAATTTTAGTCGGCATTCTGTGGAATTCGTGTCGGGATTATCCTTATGAATCCCAGACGGGCGTCTCTGAAAGAATCCCAGTTGGGATTCCCTGAAACAGTCCAAGTTGGGCTCCTCTAGAAGAAACCTAGTTTGGATTCCCTGAAAGCACCAAAGTCTGGATTCTATGAAGGAGCCTCTGTTGGGATGCCAATTGGTATTCTGTGAAATTCCAGTCGGACTTCGGGTTCTCCGAGCTAGCATTCTTTGGAAGAATCCAAGTTGGGCTTCTTTGGAAGTGTCACAGTCTGGATTATCTGAGAGAGCGCAGTCGGTATTTTCTGGAAAAATAAAACTGCAGTTGGCATTCTGTGGAGTTCTTGTCGGGATTCTCCCGATGAATTCCAGTTGGGCTTCCCTGAAAGAATTCCAGTTGAGATTCCTTGAAAAAAACCAGTTGGGCTTCTCTGAAAGAATTTGTGTTGTGATTTTCTGGATATCAATCAAAATTCGGCGGCAATCGTACGTAAAAAAAAAAATGTCACAGCCATTGTACATACGTCACAACAGCTACCCGTCTGGTAGCTGGTGTGACGTACAATGGCTGTGGAAATTTTTTTTCCAGCATCTATTTACAAAGACGCTGGACTCGAATTGCGGTCTGCCGGGATTCCACGATCACTTGCTTTTGGCTTTGACACCGGTTCACCGATGACACTTAAATTAAAAAAGTCAAAACAATTGTCTGTCACATATGTGAGTTGAGTTTCTAAATTATTTAGCAACTAGCGAATGGAAGTCGGGTTTCCAAGCTTAATTAGAGACTGAATCAGAATCTCATGCATTTAACCTAAATCCGTTTTTAAATCTCAACTGAATTCGGGCAGATTGCGTTCTTAATTCCTGAAAACAAACATTGGATTTATTGTAACATCCCTGCTTAGTGAACAAATCTCCTCAGAACTCTTTTAATATTTCCTTCGGAATTCTCCTCAGTATTCCCTTGGAATACTTCCAGAAATCCTTTGAAATCCTCGTTAGCATTTTCTTGGAATTAATCTCTGAACTACCTTTGGGCTATTCTTGTAATTTTCTTCGGAATCCCCTAGAAAGTCTCCTGCTTTGGAATGCAGAACTCCTTTTAACCTATCCTCTGAATTCGATTCGTTGAATTCCGACGAGATTCTCCTAAGAAATTATTTGAAACTCTCTCCAGACTTCATTTGGTAGTATTCTCAGAATTCGTTTTTTTCTTTTAAAACTTCTCAAATTCGTGAACCCAGGTTGGATCTCAAAAAATCGGCAGAGGGAACCTCGTCGAGTTTGAGACAGACCCAGGGTGGATCCGACTCTAACGCATAAAAAAATGTTTTGACAACTCTTAGGGCGGATCTATAGTGCGAAACTACGAAAACGAAAACGCCTATCCTCCATTTCGATCTAAACGTATTTTCCATACAAAAAAATGTATGGAACTCCGTTTGGAAGGAAATGGGCAATGATGAGGTCAGGTGCAAAGTTTTAGCTGCGACAAAATAGTCTTATAAGAAGAAGAAGAAATGATCAAATCAGGAATACAGGTGTATAGAAATCTCTACATTAATGTCTGTACATAACGAATTTTTTGATTGCACATATTTGGAAAGATTCGTTTAGTGTGGCACAGCATTATTTATCGCTACCAAATTTATTCAACAACGTACATCAACCGTCTCAAACCACAAATTCTCGTCAATCTTTTTCGTTTGTTTTTACAATTCCGCTCACTTCCCATTTCACTTGATCTCCCCACCGGAGCCCTCCTTCCGATCCCGATCCCGATCCCGACTGCTCGGTTTCGAGTCCCGATCGGCCCGGGGTGGCAGGGGAGGTTGTTGCTCTTCTTGCTTCGGCGGTGGCTTCGGTGGAGCCACCGGAGGGGCCGGGGCAGACTGGTGGCCATGCGGTGCGACATTGTTGGCTTGATGCTGCTGTTGTTGTTCGGCAGCTTGTCGCATCATTCGCTTCTGATATTCCTGCTGCTGTTTGATGAACAGACTCAACCGACTGAGCAGAAATTGTTTGTCGTGGCCTTCCAGCACCAGCTGGTGTTTGAGCACCGAGACCATGTGCCGATTTGCCGCAGACACGGCATAGAAGTAGTAGATGAAAAAGGTGAGCACTACAAAGCAAGGAATGGCAAACGAGGCGGTACCGAAGTAGAAGATGATGTTCTGGAAGAACAGCGGCATCTTCATGAAAGCATTGATGGCACGGTCCCACACGGTGGGAAGACCTCGGAATGGGCCACACGAACGGGAGGGAACAATTTCGGCCCACGCGTACACCACCGGGATGATGGCAACGGTAAATGAGATCAGCAGGGTGGACATGAACAGTGAGTTCGATCGGGAAGCGCGGTAGAGAATCGTCGATGGATTCGAGTTGACTAGACAGGCGAACTTCTTGATGTAGAACATCAGGAAGAACAAAACAGCGGCAATCGCTGGCAGGAACGGCGTATAGAACGTACCCAGCCAGCAAAGAGTTTGCGAGTAGATTACATCCAGAACGTGCTTAGAGAGCTCGAACTCTTGCTCGCCGATGAACTTGGCGATGCGGCTGGCGGAATGTCGCGCGAACATCGCTCGCGGGAAATTGACAAAGAACGTCACGAGGAAATGCGTGACAAAGTCAGTGATGAACAGTTTGTAGAATTGCTGACCAACAAACGTCTCCCAGCACTGAGGAGTTCCTCGCTCTACGTCGTAACATTGATCAGTCGCAGTGCTGTTGATTTCCATTGTAAAATTAGTCATGGTATCGGTACCATTAGTTGCACTAACCGGATGGATTTTTGGCTTCACGAGAAAGTAGAATCGGCTCAAAAGCACAGCGAGCGAGGACAGCCTGAGAAAGACCGTCCGGAAGAGTGTAATTTTGATCACGAAAAGAGGAGAATATTTTTCAAATTGCACTAGATAATTGAAAAACAAAGGAACTACCAAGTTCATGCAAACGATTGCAATGTAGGGCAAGAACTCGTAGAACAGCACTTCCAACCGCGTTGTCAGACTAGGTTCCAGCTCTTCTGGGGTCATTGGCGAGGAAATCGAGATCGTAGCATCCGGAGATGTTGAGCTAGTGGATGGCACAGCCACGGTGGCGGAATAACCGAAAGACGAAAACGACGACCACGACGACCCTCGTGGAAAGCTAATCAGATGGTTCGATTGGAAGTTGGGGTCCAATTTAGACATCGATTCGTTGAACAGCACATAGATAATGATGACGGCTATCACTAATATCACGACGACTACAAAATTAATCAAAAACCGAATGGCAATTAGCTTAACCATAAAATCTCTGGAGCGATTGATGCGCTCGTTTTCAAAACGCTTCGTATGAAGCAATGAACGAATCTCATGGTACAGCGCCTTATGTTTAATATCAGCGGATTTTTCGTTGTGAATACAAAAATCCCAGCCTCCGAAGACTAAGTTACAGTACTGATAGAAGAGACCCTCGCCCTCCGCAATGCGATCTTTGAACTGTCGCACCACTGCCTTCATCATGGCTATTAGCGCGACCACGTAGCAGATGGCCGTAATTATCACGTAAACTAGCGGAAAGTCATAGTACAGTACCGTACCGGAACCGACTTCCGTTGCACTTTGGTCGATAGCTTCACCCATTTCCATTACGAATCCTTCGTAATAACTGCCATTGAGACTACTAAAATTACTATTCCTAACCTCTGCTGCCGCACTGAGCGGAGTTGTACTAGCCACCGTAGTGCTGGTAGTACTGCTACTGCTACTACTACTGCTACTGCTGCTACTGCTACTGGTGCTACTACTACTACTCGTCGTAATCGTCGTACTACTCATAGTCGTAGTCGTCATCACCTCCATCCGAGCTGGGGGCGCTGCCGCCAAGCGATCCTCTATCGGACTATACCCGTAGATCATATTAGTATACATCCCGTAGAACAGCAGGGTTCCTTCCATGAACCCCGTCCCCTGTATCACATCCAACACGGCAAACTCCACGCTCTTGGTCGCATTCACATACGACTCCGAGCAGCACTGAACGGACGTCGGGTCCGATACGCAGGGTAGATCCTGTGGCTCCCGTAGCACCACGTGGGGCAACACTATGAAGGCCGACACCAGTCCGAACACGATCAGGTTCAGAAACATCAACCACCGCAGAAAGAGGAAGTACGCCACCACTCCGGTGCCGAAGTTACCTTCGATGGTTTTCAGCGACATGCGCCAAAGTTCCAGTTTGGTGTGGTACTCGCCCCATTTGGCACAAACACTTTGCCACGCTTTCCGCCGGCGCCATTTGATCTGTTCAAAGCCCTGAAGGCGGAGTTTGGTGGCGTTCTGGAAAGGTATGATGTTAGATGGCGACGATTTGGTTGCAAAACGGACGTACCTGTAGTTGGGCTTTCATTTCGCGCTTCTGTGCCATCGGCACAGGCATCGATTTGATCTCCTGGATTTCCTCCCATGTGCGTTCCTCGTTGATAAGGTTCTCTGGAAAAAAAAATGGGCGGATTTTAACATTTCATGGCTGTGAATAAAGTAGATTAGACACGAAAATGGCTGACAATGCCTTTTAATTTGGTGGTTGAGTGGTAAGATTGACTGCTTTCTCATCCCAGTGTGTTTGGGTTCAATTTCTGAAATGTAAAAAAATCTCTGGTCACGTCTTCCTTCGGAAGGGTAGTGAAGCCGTTGGTACATGGGTTCGATAAGTTCACTTGCACTCGATTGTGATTAGCACTCGCGGTTCAAAGACTCCGCTTTTTCAGTTTCAGGCCAAATAGCCAAAAATCAACAAATTTTAGATTTTACAATTGCAGAATACCATGAAACTTCACATAATTATTCATGTTACCATGCTTCTGCGTTAATTTTCCTACTAATGTACTTAATGGTGACATCTATCAGAAATTACGCATACACTTAGTTCCGCGGATAATACGCCTAACCAAACGCTAATTCGCGACCAGATTCCTATGGTGGGAAATCGTAAAAACAGCGCTTTCACCTTCAAAATTCTGTAAGTTAATTTCATCGCAATAGCAATACTAAAACTTCATTGCGAAGGTAATTTTCGGAGCTAACCAGATTTACAATGAAGACTTAAGTGGACCCTACACAACAGTTTGTATTGACAATAATCGTATTGTCAATACATTTTATATTGACGTCAATACATCGGTATTGACAATATTTCTGTATTCACATCATCAATCTTATTGTCAATACTTGTAAGTATTGACAATATTTCTTACCGTGTGGGGTTCGCTTTAGAATACTTAATAAAGCCACCCTAAACAGAAAAATATCTGAAATCTACTGGTGATGTAAACCGCCCATAATCGCATATCAGTCCCATATGGATAGGGAACCAAGCAAAGATGGGACTAATATGCGATTATGGGTAGTAAACATCCATTCATGCAGACATTCGTGCATGTATGCACCGACGAAGTAAACTTCCTTTTCACGTAAAATAGCAAATTGCAGGAAATGTTGCTTACAAAGATGAGCAGTTGCATACAATATATGGAATATTTCATGATACAGTCAAGATTCCTATAGTACGGTTAATAGGGACCGCACTATAGGAACCGGCATTAACGAATACACTAGCATATGGGATTATAGCTAATTGGGGACAAACTCTTATTGTAGGGTAATTTGAAGAGATAACTTCCTGGTGTCTTCTGAACAGTTATTAAACAGAATATTTGCCACCTTTGAATTTGTGATGGCCACATCAGAGTTACATTTAATAAGTGAGTGTTTGAGTGTCTTTTAAAACAAATGAAAAACATAAAAAAATTTCACATATTTGTAAAACATGTTACACAAACTATACAAAAACTCCATAGCATATAAAAGGTTATACCGTAAGCTACAAAATAGAACTAATGTTTCCAATTGGTAAATAGTGCAGAAGGTAAATTTAATCATTATATTCTTCTTTCAAAGTTACCTACATTTTACGGTACCTTCTTTTAGTGTCCACGTTACCAATTTTGTCGATTTTTTAAACCAATTATACACACTAGAAACGAGATTCTAAATTATTGCACATATTTTTTGATTTTTGAATAACAAAATACAAGATCGGACTATACACATGGCCACAATCTTTACAATCACAAGGGATCGGATGTAAAGTTTATCAATCATCTACTTAGAAAGGTGAAGGGAACCCATACTACTTATAACCATCTAAATATTGAAGAGACCATTGGATTGTGCACTTTGTGGAGAATTTGATATTTTTTTTAGCAATTGAAATAGTAAACATATTTAACAGATTGTACTATGGTATACTTTACGTCCATTTACTGGTCACAACTCTGAATTAAGGGTTTCGAAAAAAAAACCGCAGAGCTCTAGGACATTTTCAAGCATTGACCACTTTTACGGATGTTCAGGATCTTCCAAAGGACCATCCCGTAGTCTCCAGAGTCCATATTCCAAACACAACTCCGATTTCATTCTGATACGATGTTTATGACTGGTTTCAAATACACCACGGAGTTCTAGGATCGGTTTCATGAATCGATCACTTTTCGGATGTTCCGGATCTTTTAGTAAACCATCCCGTGACCCCCAGCATCCATTTTCTGGTCACAACTCCTAATTCATATTGATAAGACGTCTATGAGTGGTTTCTAAAAAACCGTGGAGCTCCAGGATCAATTTCAATCATGGACCAGTCTATGAGTGGGTTCGAATTAAGCGCGGAGCTCTAGAATCTGTTTCGTGAATTGACCACTTTTACGGATGTTCCGGATCTTCCGGAAGACCATAGCATAGTCCCCAGAGTCCATATTCCATTCAAAACTCTGAATTCATTCTGATAAGACGCCTATAAGTGGTTTCGACAAAACCACGGAGTTCTAGGATCGGTTTCATGAATTGACAACTTTAACAGATGTTCCGGATCTTCCAGTGAACCATCCCGTGGTCCCCAGTATCCATATTCAGGTCACAATTCCGAATTCATTCTGATGAGATGTCTATAAGTTGTTTCGAAAAAACCGCGGAGTTCTGGGATCAATTTCATTAATTGATCACTTTTACGGATGTTCCGGATCTTCTGGTTAACCATCCCATGGTCCACAGAGGCCATATTCAGGTCACAACGCCGAATTCATTCTGATAAGATGTCTATAAGTTGTTTCGCAAAAACCGAGAAGTTCTAGGATTAGTTTCATGAATTGACCACTTTTACGGACGTTCCGGATCTTTTAGTGAACCATCCCGTAGTCCCTAGCGTCCATTTTCTGGTCACAAATCTTAATTCATTGTAATAAGACGTCTATGAGTGCTTTCAAAAAACCGCGGAGCTCTAGAATCTGTTTCATGAATTGACCACTTTTACGGATGTTCCGAATCTTTCGGAGGACCATCATGTAGTCCTCAGAGTCTGTATTCTGGTTACAACTCCAAATTCATTCTGATAAGACGTCTACGAGAGGTTTCGAAAAAATCACGGAGCTCTAGGATCAGTTGCATGAATTGACCACTTTTACGGTGAGCCATCCCGTATTCCTCGGAGTGTATATTCCAGTAACAATTCCAAACTCATTCTGATAAGACGTCTACGAGCGGTTTTGAAAAAACCGTGGAGTTCTAGGATCAATTTAATAAATTGACCACTTTTACGGATGTTCCACTTTTACGGATGACCATCCCGTAGTCCGCGGAGTGTATATTCCAGTAACAACTCCAAATTCATTCTGATAAGACGTCTACGAGCGGTTTTGAAAAAAAACCGTGGAGTTCTAGGATCAATTTAATGAATTGACGACTTTTTCGGATGTTCCGGATCCTCCGGAAGGCCATCCCGTAGTCCTCGGAGTGTATATTCCAGTAACAACTCCAAATTCATTCTGATAAGACGTCTACGAGAGGTTTCGAAAAAACCACGGAGCTCTAGGATCAGTTTCATGAATTGACCACTTTTACGGATGCTCCGGATCTTTCGGAGCACCATTCCGTAGTCCGTAGAGTCTATATTCTGGTCACAATTTCAAATTCATTCTGATAAGACGTCTAGGAGGGATTTCGAAAAACCTGCTGAGCTCTAGGACCAGATTCATGAATTGACCACTTTTACGGATGTTCCGGATCTTCCGGTGGACCATCCCGTGGTCTCCAGTGTCCATATTCCAGTCACAACTCCGAATTCATTCTGATAAGATGTCTAGGAGTGGTTTCGAAAAAACCGCGGAGCTCTAGGATCAGATTCATGAATTGACCACTTTTACGGATGTTCCGGATCTTCCGGTGGACCATCCCGTGGTCCTCTGGGTTCATATTCAGGTCACAACTCCGAATTCATTCTGATAAAACGTCTATGAGCGGTTTCGAAAAAACCGCGGAGCTCTAGGATTAGTTTCATGAATTGACCACTTTTACGGATGTTCCGGGTCTTCCACAGGACCAGACTTGTGACTTTCCGGATGCTAAATGTTCCCAAAAGGTGGTAAATATTCTGTTTAATAACTGTTCAGAAGACACCAGGAAGTTATCTCTTCAAATTACCCTACAATCAGTGTTTGGTCCCAATTAGGTCAAATCCCATATGCTACGTGTATTCATTAATGCCGGATCGACCGCACTATAGGAATCCAGGGGTAACCGTATTATAGGAATCCGGCAAGAACGAATCCGTACTATAGGAATCTTGACTGTATGTCTCATAAATTTACACGATCTATAAGGTAAACTTGCATGATGTATGACCATAGAGGTAACTCTAAGACCACTGGGTCCCGAAGAAAATCATTATTATTTTTGGCTCACTCAGTACCAGAACAACGGTCCCAAGCAGTCCCAAGCTATTTCACTCACCCCCGCATGTTCTGCATGAATCCACACACCCCTGATGTTATCTGTCAAACTTTCATAGCGAATCAAAACAAACATAGTGTAGTAATAGAATTTCAACTACAATAGGGTACGTTAATCGTTTGCTTGGGACCAATAGGCTACTAAAGTGGTGAGCCAATTTAAAATCGTTAGTTTCGTATTGATTGTTGGTATGACGCTCCTTTTATGTGCATCATAGTAACGGAAATTTACACTATTTTTTTAACTGTGAATGCTTGTTGTCGAAGCAATGCTTGTCTACGTTTCTTTGAATCATTATTCAATCATAAAACCACCGACAAACCGACATGAATGGCCATAGCTAAAACAATAAAATTTCCGACCAAAGCACACTACTGACATCTGGCTTCGTGTTCGCGGGAAATATTTAGCTAAGCCATGAACCCGCATGCAAAAGTTATGAATTGGTTCGTGTCTGATCTATACTGTACAAATTATTTTTATCTAGATTTAAAAATCCTATTATTTTGACAGATCGGATCACTGCACAGTTGGAGGCGAACCAGCCCAAGGCTGAAAGCCTCCTTAATAAAGCTAAATAATAATAATAATAATCACTGCACATTTAAATCGGCCGTTTACGATTTTCGGGCATAAGTCAGAATTAAGTGTCATGTCGGTTTGTCGGTGATAAAATCCCTATGGGGTTGTACGCAATGGTGACGTAGGACTACGTGCTCTTATATAATAAATGTTATTTGTTAACTGCAGCAGGAGCTTGTGTTTTGCGTAGGAATAGGAATTCGAGCGGGGTTCTCTCTGTTTATACTCTTTAGTATGACGCGCTTGGCATAGATGGCCCACAGCGACTCACGAAAAGCTACTGATTCCGACATGACACTTAATTCTGACTTATGCCCGAACATTGTAAACGGCCGATTTAAATGTACAGTGATCCAAACTGTCTAAACTATAGGATTTTTTGATCTAGATAAAAATAATTTGTCCAGAATAGATCCGACACGAACCAATTCATAACTTTTGCATTCGGGTTCATGGCTTAGCTAAATATTTCCCGCGAACACGGAGCCAGATGTCAGTAGTGTGCTTTGGTCAGAAATTTTATTGTTTTTGCTATGGTCATTTATGTCGGTTTGTCGGTGATTTAACTGTGGACACCGTTTACATAAGTTCAAACTTTGATTGCTTTACGGCACCCTTAAATCATGTCCGATTTAGCCCAAATTTTGCAAAGGAGCTTTTTTCGAGGCAATGAACATGTTGTATATTGTCAAGGCCTACTTTGAACAAATTGGTGGGTTGGTTGACCAACTCCCCAAAAGTAAGGCAGGTGGTGTTCATTTGAAACGCTTATAACTTTTCGGGGGTAGCTTGGATTCACATCCGCTCTTCAGTCAAGATGTTCCCAATACTCCAAAGGTTCTATATTTTGTACACGAAGAAAATGTGAAAGTGGCTCGCTCACCCATTCATTTAGTCGATTTTCCCTATACAAACTATAGTCGCTATGTTCATAGTCTGGCGGATAGAATTTCGGTCTATAAAAAAGCAGAACCAATTCAATATATTTTAGACCAACAATTGAAAAGGTACTCTCAACTTCTATAAACAAAACGTTGATTATTCTTTCCTTGCCAATCGAACACAAATTACCGGCATCATCGGATAGGGGAAACTTTCCCCAACCCAAAGATGGTGTTAGTTTGCGTAGACAAGCCTTGAGTCACGAGAAAAGGGTTTCCGAAGTTTTGTTCGCAATAGCTGATGTGCTCTTTTCTGTTGTTGGACGTGTTTTGTTCGATTGGTTCCGCTTTTTGACAGCTCAATTAGTTCCCGAGATTCTATTCGCCAGACTATGAATATAGCGACTATAATACAAACTTCATGCCGTTTGGGCGAGGGGTTCCCGTGAACTAAATGACTTCAAAGTTTGGCAGGATGTTTCTGACCCCCCCAAAACTACCATTCCAATGGGTAGCGTTTGAAATTCCAGACTTTGACTTTTTTCATATAACGCTGATACACTCTAATGTTCAGCTTGAAATCTGGTTTTGAAAGTTTGTGCACAGATAAAAAGTGAGGTTACGTGACGCCACTGATTCAACCATCTCTTAGAAATGGTAGTTCCTACTGCAACAACAGCTAACAACCACGTTTTTCCTGGAACAAAATGTCCCTACACGACCATCAGAAGATTTTTTTTTAGATCCTATACATTTGTGAAATCCTGATGATCCTCAATGTAATTTAACACCCTATTTATTAATTTGTGAGGCTTACTACTTATATAGATGAAATCAACTGTCTGATGCAATGTAATTGGCATTCATCAAACTGTAAAATAAGTGGTAATTTACAGCAGGTCAATTACGCAGTTGATGTACTACACTAGTCGGCTTCCCAGTATCATCTATCTTATTTTGTGACATTTCACATTCACAGTAATAAATTACACTCGCAATTCCCTGATACAACATTCTGGGACTAGCACAAAGAGTCGCGCATGATAAAAGCCGGTCGTCGCCGAAGTTGACCGTACCTGACCAATATGAACCTTTCAATTAAGTAATTTAGTCATTAACAACGCATACCATGCGATCGGTCGTCGGGATGCTACACCAGATCATTGTCTTCATGAGCACCGTAAAGCTATTACTGTCTACATCTTCTTTGCATAATGTAGCGAGACTGGCAATCGTTCCGACTGTTTTATTGCCCTTTGCCGTACACGGCTTTGAAGAAATTGTTGCTGATTGAACATTATAATCTCAATCAATGGAAACGAGGGTTATCTATTCAATAGAATAAACGACTTCGCTTTGTTTTGAAACTGGAACAGGATGAATAATGTTCTCAATTGCAAATTAGCGTGCGTCTCCACGAATTGATAGTGTTGTAGTGTGGTGGACATCTTGCGAAAAAAAGGAAACCGAGTTTTCTTTAACACCCAGCTAGCGTACCCACCGACAAACCGACATGAATGACCATAGCTAAAACAATAAAATTTCTGACCAAAGCACACTACTGACATCTGGCTCCGTGTTCGCGGGAAATATTCAGCTACGCCATAAACCCGCATGCAAAAGTTATGAGTTGGTTCGTGTCTGATCTATTCTGTACAAATTATTTTTATCTAGATCAAAAAAACCTATGATTTTGACAGATCGGATCACTGCACATTTAAATCGGCCGTTCACGATTTTCGGGCATAAGTCAGAATTAAGTGTCATGTCGGTTTGTCGGTGGCGTACCCACATGCTCATATCTAACTTATCAAACAGAGGTCGTTTGCCTGCCAGGCAACCGGAACCATCAAATTTAGCTGCCCATTGTGAAGCTTCAATTTATGGTCACTCCAACGAGTCCAAAAAAAAATGCGCATCAAAATAATAAAGAACATCGTGATGTAATTAGCACTGAATCGCTCTACCGACTGTTTCACATGCAACTGTGAATGGAGAGCGACGTTATAATATCAAGTTCCATTCCCTATCAGCAGCACTATTTCGTCACGTGCTATTGCTAGTTAGTGATACAGTCAGAGCTAGATCGATAGTTACCTGATAAGTCCGGGAGCGTGGCCACTTGAATCTCGTGGTACTGTGAACCCCGTCTGGCCACCGTGGAAAAGCTAGTCCTTCTACGAGTTCCTTTCGTATCCTGTTGGGACGGTCGCACTCGTCGGGTGGTAGCTACAAAAAAGGTCATAATTAATTAAATTGATCCGCAGTGTCAACCATCTAGCTTGGATCATTACCATTCCTGGTCTGCTTTGAGGGTAGCAGGGTCGCTATCTTGGATGGATCCCGCTGCATACCCTCCAGATCGGCTGGGTAGCTTTCCTGGTAGAACTCTCCGCCGGCTTCCTCCCAGCCTTGGGCTTTGCTGGCCCGCGATCGTCGATCCTTCCCACCGGACATTTTGTACGTGTGTGTGTGTGTGCGTTGGTTGTGGATCGATAATACTCTAACCTCGTCTCAGAACCCAGTCCAGGTTACGATGACTGCTGGTGGGTCGGTTTCCGCTTCTGCTAGGGTGATGCATTCGTCTCGAATGGTACACCTGTAATGAATTAGTTGAAAGAAGAGGCAGGAGTGGGGAAATTAATGGCAATTCAGAATGATATTTGTTACAAGCTTGTCGCGTTGATTTGGATTTGATATGAGTCGTTTGAAGCGTTCTCGAGTGGTTTGGGGGGAATGGGGTAGAATGGACTTTGGTAAAATATTCATTGTTGATACTTATTGACATTTTTAAATTTATTTGAATCAGCTTCAATCCTTTTAAAACAATTGTTTGAAGATTGTCCATTTTTCAATTAAACTAGCTGATATAAGCGGACTAGAACCATTTCAAAACAAATAAGCTTTGTCGGTTCCGGAAAACATAACTTTGATCTCCAACAGAAAGCATACCTGTGATGTCAATGAAACGTGTCAACTGTCAGGAAAACATCCGCCGATAAAAGTTTATTACCCATACCATACTACCTATTTGTTTGGTACACAATCACTTTCCTTTTGGCTTGTGTAAACACAACTAAATAGCATGCAGTAGGTGATAAGATACAGTCGGACGAATGCCTTTCGCCAGGGTTTTCCTCTGTTGCGGTATGTTATCTATAAAGTCAACGGAACAGTGATTCAAACTATAGCAAATTAATAATTCACCGCCAATGCAAGCAAATGGCCCTGAATTGCTTGATAAAGTTGAGTGACGGGACGAGAAACCCCACTTCCTTGTAAAATGATTCATAAATGTAGATAGATTGTCTTTGAAAACTACATGACCAGGTTGTCTCAAACTTTCAACATAATTATTTAGGCTCTGAACCATTTGGCGAATTTTTTTAAGGCTCTGACCCAGGGCTCTACATTTTCGAAGCTCTAAAATGAACTCGAGTTTTGTTTCTCTCATTACAAACGTGTTCAACGCTTCATTTCTATAACGCCTAGCTAGACTATCAGCAAGATATTATAATGAAAAAGAAGCACGCTTAGAAGGAAACGCTGGCTGTGGATCTTCTCGTCGTTGCTTTGCCCATCGCAATGTAAGTAACGTCGATTTTCTAGTTAAACGAAACCTCATTATGGCTTTCAATCCTCTTTCATGAACACTCTATCACCGCTCTTTCAATTTGTTTTAAATGCGTTATGTCCGGTTTTCGTTAATTTTTTTTAGATAAATATGTGGATGAAAGATAAATTAAACATATTACGTGTAATCTTCAAGTGTTTTCACGTGAGAAATGCTTTAAATATGTAATTTCATTTTCCGTCATATACGTCATGAAACCTCTGTTGATGTGTTTCATGAAAGAGAAAACTATCAAAGTCGAGTGCTCTTTCGCTCATCCGTTTCACCGAAGCTTGAAAGGAGGACCAATGGAGCGACGGGAGAAAGAGAGACAAGCGATTTATATTTGTTTGTGCACGCCGACTGAGGTTCTAGAATGCTGCGAAGCTGTTCGACTTTAACAGGAAAAAGAAAGCCAGCAGTCTCTTCGTCGCATCGATTTGGTCGATTGAAGCTGATATTGTGACGCCCTGCTCTGAACCATTTGGTGGATTTTTTTTAACTTTTGGTTAAAATTTTACAGATGGAAAGTTATTGATTAACCCTGCTATCCGAGCTTTGTTATTTCTGACAGACAAGAAGTTAAATTTTGACAACCGTGGGTTGAAAACCGGTCGATCGACAGCACGGGGATTTTAGAACATAGAAAATAATTTTCGAAATGTCGCTTTTAACCACGAGTTAAATTTAACTTGGCAAATGGTTCACAGCCTTAGAAGAAGAGTTGAGTTGAACAATCAAAACATTTTTTTAGGCTTTGAACCATGTGCCGAGTTACATTTCGAAAGTTATTTTCTATGTTCGAATTTCCCTGTGTTGTCGATCGACCGGTTTTCGAGAAGAACTTAGTCAAGGTTTTCAAAATTTAACTTCTTGTCTGTCAGAAGTAACCACGCTCGGATAGCAGGGTTAATCGATAACTTCCATCTGTAAAATCTTAACCAAAAGTTAAAATAATCTACCAAATGGTTCAGAGCCTTAGGCTGTGTTCCATTTGGAAAATTTTCACTTAGATTTGACACTTCGAAAATAAATTGAGATGTTCGAAAATCCCTCTGTTGTTGATCGGCCGATTTTCGAGAAAGCGTCTGTCAAAATTGATTCCTTGTCTGTCAGAAATAAGTCTGCTGGAATAGCAGGTTTATTTGAAAATTTTCCATCTGTCAAATTTAAGTAAAAATTCACCAAATGGAACATAGCCTTAGTGACGTTTATAATTTTGTTGGGAGCTGTCCACGCAGAAAAATAAAACGACCCAGAGTTTACGTTTTTTTTTTTTCTCAAATTTGAGTTTAGTTATCTCTCTCCGTTTCACTGTTTTCAAAGATTCGACTCAACCATAAACTCTAGATTAACAATTGAAATAGGCGGAACAACCAGACGTAAACAATGGCTTTAAACGCAAATTTCTCAAGAATCAAAACACACACACGCAAACTAACAATGCCATTCGATAAAGGAAGTTTGCTCCATCAGATGCTGGTGTTTAATTGCTAGAATGTGTCTTGATTCCCGAGAAATTTGCGTTTAAAGCCATTGTTTACGTTTGGTTGTTCGGCCTATTTCAAATGTTGATCTAGAACTGCCGTACAAGAAGCCAAAATTGAGCAGGCATCAAAATTATCTCTATCCATTATCCAATATATAATTGGATATTATCCCGATCCTTATCCGCAGAATTTTAAAACGGATGATATCCGAGTTAAAATTATCCGCATAGAAAAGTTTTAAGATTATCCGGATAGAAAAAAAAGTCGATAGCGATAATATCCATTATTTTCCTATCTGGATAATATCCGGAGTACTCCGAACAATTTATGTTTAGAATAGGGATGTTTGATATTAAATATGGGTATTTTTTGAATCGGGGTGATGTCAAAAAGTGGGATAATTTATATTCGACGCCATTTTGAAATCCAAGATGGCGGCCTTCGGTTTCATGAATATTGAAAAATACTGTCAAATACTCATCTATATGGATAATTTTGAAATCAGGGTGATGTCTAAAGTCCGAACATTAATTTTTTTCCTTGATTTGTTTTCCGTACTGAGCACCAACGCAACCGACGCCAGTAAGGCAGCTCCCTCACCTGGACCCTACCTAGCGACCCATCAACTCATGAACCGGGGACCAACAGTTTCACTTTCCTTCCGATGAAGGCGTGATCAGAGATGTTATGCCTCAGAACATCCCGGCGGCACCGACTGGGATTGAATCCAGACCTGCTGGGGTGATAGGTATTCACGCTTACCACTACACCAACGGCACCGCTTCCGAAAATTGATATCCAACGCCATTTTGAAATCCAAGATGACGGCTTCCAGTTTCATGAAAAGTGGAAAATACTGTAAAATACCCATCAATATGGGTATTTTTGGAATCGGAGTGATGTCTAGAGTCAGGAAATTGATATCCGACGCCATTTTGGAATCCAATATGGCGGCCATTGGTTTAAAAAAAGTGGCAAATACCCTACAATATGGGTATTTTCGAAACAGGGAAGAGGTGTAGATGCCGAAAATTGATGTCCGACGCTATTTTGGAATCCAATATGGTCGTCATTGCGTTCAGAAAAAGTCGCAAATACCCTACAATATGGGTATTGTCAAAACGACACGACGTGTAGATGCTGAAAATTGATTTCTGACGCCATTTTGAAATCCAAAATGGCAACCATGATTTTCTAAAAGAGCGTCAAATACCCTAAAATATGGAAATTTTTGGATAATATACGATGTGTAGTGACTGAAAATCGAGGTCCGACTCCTAATTGTAATCCAAGGCGGCCATTTGTTTATGAAATACCATACAATATGGGTATTATCGGAACGAAGACGACGCGTGAAGGCCGAAAATCAATGTTCGATGCCATTTTGGAATGCAAGATGGCGACCATTGGATTCAGAAAAAGTGGTAAATACCCTACAATCTGGGTATTTTCGGAACGGGGACGACATTTAGATGCCGAAAATTGTCCCTCGTCGACCACACCTGCGTATGAACTAGTTTCCAAACTGCTAACACTACGATCAACAATCAATTCGAAACTAATGATTTTAAATTGGCTCACTACTTGACTAGCCTATTGGTCCCAAGCAAATCGATTAACGTACCCCATTCTAGTATAAATTCCAGTACTATGTTTGTTTTGATTAGCTATGAAAGTTTGACAGATAAAATGAGTGGTTCGTGGATTTTCCTATGTTCCGAGGGGTGCCCCGATTTGCTTTGGACCGAAGATAGTACCAGAGCTGAACCAAAAAATTGAGCTCGTTTCTTCGGGACCTTCTGGTCTTAGAGTTACCTCTATGCTACGATCGTCGTCCTAGTCGAGCTTCTCTTCGGTCTTTTGTTCTTCGATCAATTCCGGCTGTTTCCGAGCATTTCACTTAGGACTTTAATCCGTCCAGTTCCGCTGCATCTAGCAAACAAAACACACACTCTTGTTCCCTTGATAGAGTACATTCCCCTTCCAAATGAGGAAATGCAGTGATGTAAGGATTTGATTTTCACATCCATATTTGCTCCACATACTCCAGTGTAAACATCGAAACCTAGCTCTGGAGGGAATTTTTGACGGACAACACTCTTAACTTTACCGTATTTACCCAGCACCAACGCTAGACCTTTGTCGGAAACTTCAGGTGGTAGATCTATACTCGTACATATTGAATACATTCCGCCGCAATCGACATGCGTACCTCGACTGCCTTTCCATTATCATAATGGAACTTGGAGGCGAACCAGCCCAAGGCTGAAAGCCTCCCTAATAAAGCTAAATAATAATAATTATCATAATGGAAAACTGATGATGATTGAATTTGATGAACAAGGATTTCTCCTCAGGTATTCTGTATATAGGTTCTATCTGGACAGGATTCGCGTGCAGTACTTAACAATTTCGCCTAAAGACGGTCTTCCAGGACCATCCCCACAAAGATATTTTACTTCTCCTACAAGTACAATCGTACTCTATGCCCAGGAT